TGTACATTTATACAAGCACTGTATTAATGTATTAAATACATTAATATGGAAACAATTTGGACGTTCCTCAAAAAGCTACAAATAGAGCTAATATAGAGCTAGCAGTGGTATATCCCACTGCTAGGTATATACCCAAAAGAAAGAAAATCAGTATATCAAAGTAATATCTGCACTCCCACATTTATTGTAGCACTATTCACAATAGGAAAGATTTGGAATGAAAATATTTGCTATATGGACACTTAGCAAATCTTTCCTGTTGTCCTATAGCAAGACATGACTTGTAATATGTGACTTGCTCCTCCTTGTCTTCCACCATGGTTATGAGGCTTCCCCAGCCATGTTGAAGTGTAAGTCTATTAAAACTCTTTATTTTTTAAATTGCCAAGTCTCAAGTATGTCTTTATCAGCAGTGTGAAAACAGACTAATAAAAAAGTGAAGAGACAACCCCCTGAAGGAGAGAAGTATCTCACATACTCCATAAATGTACACACCTATCATGTAACCACAAAAATTGAAATTAAAATATTTTAAAAATATTAGTAGTAATTCCATATACCAATAATGATCAAGCTGAGAAATCAAGTAGGCAATCCCATTTACAATAACTACAAAAAGATAAAATATCTAGGAATAATTTAAACAAGGAGGTGAAATATATCTACTAGAAAAATGACAAAACAATGATGAAAAAATGTAGACAGCATAAACACATGAAACAACATCCCATACTCGTGGGGCAAAAGAATCAATATAGTTAAAGTGATGACACTGCCCAAAGCAACCTACAGATTCAATGCAATCCCTATCAAAATAGTGACTTTATTTTTCACAGAACTAGAGAAAGCAATCCTAAAATTCATATTGTACCTGAAAGACCCCAAATAGCCAAAGCAGTTCTAAGCAAAAAGAACAAAGCTGGAGATATCAAATTATCTGGCATCAAATTACACATACTATAAGGCTAAACCAGCATGGTACTTGCTTTAAAATAGACATATAAAATCAATGAAAGAATAGAGAACCCAGAAATAAAGCCACCTATCTCCACCCAACTAAACATACACTAGAAAGACGACACTACTTTCAATAAATGGTACTGGCAGTATTCTATTGCCACCTGCAGAAGAATGAAACCAGACTCCTATCTCTTGGCATACACAAAAATCAACTCAAGATGGATTAACAACTTAAATGTAAGACCTAAAACTATAAAAACACTAGAAGAAAACTATGGAAACTTTTTTCGACATTGGTCTAGGCAAATAATTCATGACTAAGACCTCAGAAGTTTAAGCAACAAAAACAAAAATAGATCTATAGGACTTAATTAACTAAAAAGCTTCCACACAGCAAAAGAAATAACAGAACAAACAAACAATCTGCAGAATGGGAGAAAATATTTTCAAACTATACATAGAACAGGAGAATAACATCCAAAATTTATGAGGAACTCAAACAACAACCATAACAAAATAAATAACCCTATTAATATGAGCAAAGTACATGAATAAATATTTTTCAAAAGAGAACTTTACAAATGGCAAATATATGTTTTAAATGTTCAACATCATTAAGCATCAGAGAAATGCAACTAAAACTACAATGAGATATTATCTTATACCAGTCAGAATGGCTATTAAGAATAGTAATAATAATAACAGATGTTGTTGAGGATGCAGAGATAAGAGAATGCTTATCAAGTGTTGGTGGGAATGTAAATTAGCACAACCTCTATAGAAAACAGTATGGAAATTTTTCTTAGAACTAAAAATAGGACTACCATTCAATCCAGTAATCCCACTACTGGGTATTTGCTCAAACAAAAAGAAATAATTATGTGAAAAACTTATCTTCACTCCAATATTTATTACACTACTATTCACAATAGCAAAGATGTGGAATCAATCTAAATGTCCTTCAATTAATGATTGCATAAAGAACATGTGGTATACAATGGAATATTAATCAGCCATAAAAAGAATTTAATCATGTATTTTGCAGCAACATAGATGGAACTGGAGGCCATTATTATTTTTTTTTTTTTTTTTTTGAGACAGAGTCTCGTTCTGTTGCCAGGCGCCAGGCTGGAGTGCAGTGGCGTGATCTCCACTCACTGCAACCTCCGTGGAGGCCATTATCTTAAGTGAAACAACTCAAAAACAGAAAGTCAATACACATGTTCTCATTTATAAGGGAGAGCTAAATAATATGTATACACATAGAGCATGGAATAACAGACCTTGGAGATTCAGAAGGGGGTGGCCATGGAATGAGAAATGAGAAATTATTTAGTGGGCACAATGTATATTATTTGGGTAATGGTTATGCTAAAAGCCCAAACGATCACTACACAATATATCCACGTATCAAAATTGCATTTATACCCCTTAGATTTCTTCAGATAAAAAATTTAAGGTGCTAATGATGTTATATTCAATAGCAGAAGAAGTCCATGGCATGAAGTGTTTATAGAGATATGCAGAATTACTGCACTGGATATTCCTAATCACTCACTTATAAGAAGCAAGGATCTATGTGACTTTGTACATGATACTATCAAACATTTTTGAAAATTTAATATGATGACATTGGCTGGTTCCTCCTAATGTTACTGGACAACATGACAAAAAAAGGGGGCAGAAGTGGGGAGGATGAGTTCAGGAATTCAAATTCCCAGCATAAGCACCAAATAAATAACCTAGGAACGTCTATGTGTGCCCTGAAGGAGACCTTTACCTTCTGTAGCAGCAGGGCTCAAATTGCTGAAGATAATGTAGAACCTTATCCTGTGACTTGACGAATTACAAGGCAAGTTAAACACCAGCAGGGCAGAGTGTGTACTGTCAACATGAGGGCAATGATGGGAAAATATGGAATTGTGAAAGTTAGGATGTGGATGTGTGGGAAGACCTTCCAGGGTCATTGACACTCTAAAGTCTGATGAGTCTTCTTTGCCCTAACTAATACCCTTTCAAAGATGTCTTCATTTATCTAATTTATTATTATTATTATTATTATTATTATTACTGTGTATATTTTGGTAAGGAAGACACACACACACACACACACACATTAATTATGAAGGATAGTAGGTATAATCCCTTAATAAAATGTAAGAAAACTGGCTCCTTTTTCAAACCAAGATTTGAACTGCAGCCTGAACAAAAGCCTGTCCACTTAACTACTCTACTACAAGTCTCATGTATTACTATCATAGATCTAACTAATATTTTTAATTGTTCATAAATTGTTGGAAAAATGTGGATTATTTATTTGATGATTATGTGGTAAGATTGAACAACTTCTTTTACAGAGTCTTTTTGTAAGGGATGGGACAAGACTATAGTGGGATTAAAGAAAAGATGTTCTGGGAAAGGAATCTGAATTATTTCAGGCTTATGTAAATCAAGACACAATCTTTCAAATGAGGGTAATCTTTATTCCCATAGAGTTGTAATTATTGTAAAGGGCCCTTACACCTTTAACTAACAGACAAAAGAATCAAAGATATTTTGTAGGCATCAAGTACATACAAGACAAGGCGCTAGTACAAGATCTATAGAAAATAAATAGCCATTGTTTTTAATTATATGGACAGTATTCAGGTATGCTTGGAAATACAACACTACAATATTGTGTTATGGAGTAAACCATGTCCTCTCAAAATTTCTATGCTGAAGTCCTAGGATTTTTACAGAGGTAATCAAGTTAAAATGAGGTCATTAAAGTAGGTCCTATGTGACTGATATTTTTTTAAAATGCGGAAATTTGGACATAGACATACAGGGAGAACAACATGTACAGATGAAGGTAGAAATTAGGGTGATGCTTCTGTAAACCAAAAAACATCAAAGATTGCTAACAACCTGTCAAAGCTAGGGGAGAAACATGAAACAGATTCTTCATAATTCTCATGGGAAACCAGTTCTGCTAATATCTTGACCTCAGACTTCTAATCTCCAGGACTGTGAGACAATACATTTCTGTTTTTCAATCCACTCAGTTTGTGGTACTTTGTGACAAACTGAGTGAAAGTAAAGAAACAATTAATATCTGTTGTTAAACCCACTTTGTAGTACTTTGTTATATCAACCCTATCAAATCTATACAATGTGACATAATCAAAGAGCAACACCCTGCATAAATAAATTTTCAATTGTTTGGTATAATCAACCAATGTTTTTAAGGTTCAGAAACAACTATTATATAACTGACATTGATAAGTCCCTTCAGCCACACATAAACACACAGATACATATACATTATTCAGAACCAATGAAAATTAATAATTATTTATTAAATAAATGTTTAACTTTCTCACTAATATTTTCAACCTATTCTGAGTCTCTACTATGTGCCAATTAGAGTAGGAGGCTCAGAACATCAAGAGCTAAACAATATCTAGCCCCTGCTGGGTGAGAACAAACAATCAAATCCTGATCCTGATCGCCACTATCAGAATACCTACAGCATTGCCAATTATTAGGCCATTTTACCTCTGTTCCTTTGTATTCAAAGGAGGTAAATACAAATCCTTTGTATTTCTTTGTATACAAAGGAAAGTTTGTATTCAAAGAGGGTAAATATATCAGCTAATTGTTTGTTTTATAGGAAAGCCTCCTCTCTCCCCCAAAATTAAGTTCTACTGTAAGCATGTCATAAAGAACTAGATATTATTCAATAAATCATAATTGATAATGCAGTCAAACATGAGGACTTTATTAAAAAAACTAATATCTTGGAACGTAGTTTATAAAATATAAGGTACTATATGAGCATTTGTTACTATTACCTTCAATTATATTTTTAATCATTTATAACAATAAAAATTTAATATCCCCAAATTAATTCCTCAAAAATTTTTCCCATAACTCTTGTTCCATTATTCTAAAATATTAAATGAGTTGAATCACACTGAATGGTCACAAAATATTCAATTCTGAAAAAAAAATACCTTACCAAACAAACGTAAAAGAAAAGCCTTTAATATACTTACCACTTTCAAAGCAAGCATCAAAGATAAGATGTCCTTTCTTGGGCTGTCCACAGTATCCAGTTGGAAGCACTATATATTTGCTCACATTCCCTCCGATGGCATCATCATTTCCCATATCATTACCTATTTTTAAAAAATTGGCTCATGTTAAATTAAAGTCGAAGTATATTATTCAGCAGTAGAAGTCCAGTCAGATTTTTGCCGCTTCCCTAGTCACCGAGTGTTAACCCAAGAAAAGAAAACTTAACACCACATGGTCGTACAGTGAAAAGAGGCTACATTTTGAAACAAAATGATATGGGCTCAAATTTCAACTCGAATAAATGCTAATTCTCTATGCCCCAAAGCAATCAACCTAATATCTTTACACTTCAGTTCCTCTCATCCAGACCATGTGAACAGTAAAATCATATTCCAAAGTCATGTTTCTAGAATTATATATAAACTATAAAAATATCTACTATTATTATCAAAATCCAAGATATATTCATTAAATTACATCAACCATTTAATATATAAATAATTTACATAATTTGCATAAACATATATTCAATTGCTTAAATTTGAATAAAGCAGTAGTTCTATAAATAGCATTATGACTTCCAGATGCTCCACCAGAAACAATCTGAGAAAAACTGATTTAGCATACAAGTTCTATTTCCAAAAAATCAATAAATCCAAGAGCTGGTTTTTTGAAAAGATCAACAAAATAGACCAATAGCCAGATTGATTAAAAATAAAAGAGAGAACAACCAAATAGATGCAATAAAAAATGATAAAGGGGAAATCACCACAGATTCCACAGAAATTCAAACCATCATCAGAGAATATTACAAACAACTCTATGCACATAAACTAGTAAACCTGAAAGAAATGGATAAATTCCTGGACTCCTGTGTCCTCCCAAGCCTAAACCAGGAGGAAGCTGAAACTATGAATAGACCAATAACAAGGGCAGAAGTCGAGGCAGCAATTAAGAGCCTACCACTCAAAAAAAGCCCAGGTCCAGACGGGTTCAGAGCCGAATTCTACCAGACACACAAAGAGGAGCTGGTACCATTCCTTCTAAAACTATTTCAAACAATCCAAAAAGAGGGAATCCTTCCCAAATCATTTTACGAGACCAACATCATTCTGATACCAAAACCCGGCAGAGACCCAACAAGAAAAGAAAACTTCAGGCCAATATCCATGATGAACATAGATGCAAAAATCTTCAATAAAATATTGGCCAGCCGACTGCAACAGCAAATCAAAAAACGTATTCATCATGATCAAGTAGGATTCCTCCTGGCGATGCAAGGCTGGTTCAACATACGCAAGTCTATCAACGTAATTCACCACATAAACAGAACCAAAAACAAAATCCACATGATTATCTCAATTGATGCAGAGAAGGCATTTGACAAAATTCAGCAGCCCTTTATGCTAAAAACCCTCAATAAACTCGGTATCGATGGAACGTATCTCAAAGTAATAAAAGCTATTTATGACAAACCAACAGCCAATATCATACTGAATGGGCAAAAACTGGAAGCATTCCCTTTGAAATCCGGCACTAGACAAGGATGCCCTCTTTCACCACTCCTATTCAATATAGTACTGGAAGTTCTAGCCAGAGCAATCAGGCAAGAAAAAGAAATAAAGGGTATTCAAATAGGAAAGGTGGAAGCCAAATTGTCTCTATTTGCAGACGACATGATAGTATACCTAGAAGACCCCATCGCCTCAGCCCCAAAACTCCTGAAACTGATAAGCAACTTCAACAAAGCCTCAGGATATAAAATCAATGTGCAAAAATCACAAGCATTCGTCTACACCAATCACAGACTTAAAGAAAGCCAAATCAAGAACGAACTGCCATTCACAATTGCTACAAAAAGAATAAAATACCTTGGAACACAACTCACAAGGAACGTAAGGGACCTCTTCAAGGAGAACTACAAACAACTGCTCAATGAAATCAGAGAAGACACAAACACATGGAGAAACATTCCATGTTCATGGTTAGAAAGAATTAATGGCGTGAAAATGGCTATACTGCCCAAAGTAATTTACAGAATCAATGCTATCCCCATCAAGCTACCATTGACTTTCTTCAAAGAACTGGAAAAAACCACCATGAACTTCATATGGAACCAAAAGAGAGCCCGCATAGCCAAGTCAATTCTAAGCAAAAAGAACACAGCGAGGGATATCACACTACCGGATTTCAAACTATACTACAAGGCTACAATCAAATCAGCATGGTACTGGTACAGTAATCAAAACAGCATGGTAGTGGCACCAAAACAGAGATATAGACCAATGGAACAAAACAGAGGCACCGGAGGCAACACAACATATCTACAACTATACAATCTTTGATAAACCTGACAAAAACAAGCAATGGGGAAAGGATTCCCTGTTTAACAAATGGTGTTGGGAAAACCGGCTAGCCATGTGCAGAAAGCAGAAACTGGAACCCTTCCTGACACCTTACACTAAAATTAACTCCAGGTGGATTAAAGACTTAAACATAAGACCTGGCACAATAAAAGCCCTAGAAGGAAATCTAGACAAAACTATCCAGGACATAGGAGTAGGCAAGGACTTCATGAACAAAACACCAAAAGCATTGGCAACAAAAGCCAAAATAGACAAATGGGACCTAATGAAACTCCACAGCTTCTGCACGGCAAAAGAAACAGTCACTAGAGTGAGTCGGCAACCAACAGAATGGGAAAAAATTTTTGCCGTTTACCCATCTGACAAAGGGCTGATATCCAGAATTTACAAAGAACTCAAACAGATTTACAGGAAAAAAACAAACAAGCCCATTCAAAAGTGGGCAAAGGATATGAACAGACACTTTACAAAAGAATACATATATGAGACCAACAAGCATATGAAAAAATGCTCATCATCACTGGTCATCAGAGAGATGCAAATCAAAACCACATTGAGATACCATCTCACGCCAGTTAGAATGGCGATCATTAAAAAATCTGGAGACAACAGATGCTGGAGAGGATGTGGAGAAAAAGGAACAGTTTTACACTGCTGATGGGAGTGTAAATTAGTTCAACCATTGTGGAAGACAGTGTGGCGATTCCTCAAGGCCTTAGAAATAGAAATTCCATTTGACCCAGCAATCCCATTACTGGGTATATATCCAAAAGACTATAAATCGTTCTACTATAAGGACACATGTACACGAATGTTCATTGCAGCACTGTTTACAATAGCAAAGACGTGGAATCAACCCAAATGCCCATTGATAATAGACTGGATTGGAAAAATGTGGCACATATACACCATGGAATATTATGCAGCAATCAGAAATGATGAGTTCGTGTCGTTTGTAGGGACATGGATGAATCTGGAGAACATCATCCTCAGCAAACTGACACAAGAACAGAAATTGAAACACCGCATATTCTCACTCATAGGCGGGTGATGAAAAATGAGAACACATGGACACAGAAAGGGGAGTACTAAACACTGGGGTCTATTGGGGGGAAAAGGGGAGGGTGAATGGGAGGGGGAGGTGGGGAGGGATAGCCTGGGGAGAAATGCCAAACGTGGGTAAAGGGGAAAAGGAAAGCAAAGCAAACGGCCATGTGTGTACCTACGCAACTGTCTTGCATGCTCTGCTCATGTACCCCAGAACCTAAAATCCAATAAAAAATTTAAAAATAAATAAATAAATAAATAAAATTAATTAATTAATTAAAAGTTAAAAATTTTTTAAATAAGAGAAAGAAGAATTATAAGATTTCAACAACAAAGAAACAAGCCAATTCTAAAAAAAGGCAAAAGATTTGAATAAGTATTTCTAAAAAGAATATATACAAATAGTCGCTAAGTACATGAAAAGATGTTCAACATCACTAGTCATCAGGGAAATGCAAATCAAAACCAGTGTAGGTTACCACTTCATACCCACTACAATGGTTATTATAAAAAAAATTAAACAAACAAAATAACAAATGTTGACGAGCATGCGGAGAAACTGAAATACTGGAACCTTTGAGCACGCTGATGAAGATGTCAAATGGTTCAGCGAAAACAGTTAATAAGGCCTCATCTTTGGATATAAAAGAAAATAATCATCAAAATAAACTGCATTCATGAGACATGAAGCCAGAAAATAAAACTATTCAACCCCTCTAGGCCCAGAGACTATCATGAAACACGTGGGCATGTGAAATTCCACGGGCCAATTTTGAGAGTTAAAATTAGTTCAGAGTTTCTCTATAAATCAAACATTAATATAAAAGGCATACTATGCAATACCAGCATCTGGGACCCTGAATAAAATTAACAAGGTTTTCTTGGAATATTAACCCACTCTTTAATTAAAAAGCTATAAAATATTATTTTTAAATGTATTAAAAATACATATCCTATGGTCAACATATTTATTAAAATTTAATAAATTTGCTTATAAGAGTTGAGAGACAGATTTAATTGCCCCATGATGTATTTATTAGGGCTTATTGTTTAGGAAAGTAAGTCACCTTTCTCAAAAAATAAAGGTTTTTGCCTTTCTTGTTGAAATCTTAGAGTTATCACTTTGACTGAGTGAATGACTTTTTTTATAATGACCTGTGACCATATTCTGTGATGTCAAGTATTTTAAAGTTTTGATATTTCAGAAACTTTCCAAAATCAAATTCTACATGGAGTCCTTCTGTACTCATAATTTTTTGACATTAAGTCACCTGAAGTCCAAAATAGATATATTCAGCTTCTTTGGCATAATAAAATCATACAGGAAGCATTGTCAATTATAAAGTGTTGTTTAATCTTCTTTGGATTATATTTATATAAATTATTAGTATGTGTTTTAAAATTGTGTGAGATTCCTGTGATTCTGTTATGTCCCAACTTGTTATCAGTAGCAATTATGATTATCAGGTAAAATTGTAAGCCACAGAAGTAACCAAGTTTCCTTGTCAATTGTGTCTTTAATCATGTCTGTTCTAAGACTTTTGTCATCCATAATTGTTTTACTTTGATCCTTGTATAGAGGAGTTTATAATCAGCTCTAGAAACCAGAGGAATACTCTTAAATACAGGTTTCTGATAACTTTAGAGACTGTGCCATTGAAATGGAGAGAAAAACTCCCAGGATTCTC